GCAGCAAATACTTAACACGACGCAGAACTCCAAGTCGTTGGCTGACTTTTTTGCTAAGGGCATCAATCTGGTCCGACCAAGACATATTTTGATTAAGTTTAATGCCAAGGTATTTGAAGGTGTCTCTACGTTCCAAGTTATGTGCGTTGATCTCTAATGAAAACTCACGGAATGAATTGAGTTTACGCGTGCTGCCGAAGATTACAAATTTGCTTTTCTCAGCGTTCAAAGTTAAAAGATTGTCATTTAAATATCTGCGAAGGATTTCAAGGTCAGCATTCAAATTTTCCTCAAGTTCCGACAACGTAGAGGAAGAGAAATAAAGAACCGTGTCATCTGCATACATAGTCACTTTACACTTCTTAATACAAGACGGCAAGTCGTTCACGTAAAGGATAAATAGGAGTGGTTCAAGGACACTCCCTTGTGGAACTCCAACTGAGACATACTTTGCAGAAGAGGTAGCATTATCCACTCTTGTTACCTGTATTCTCTGATATAGGTATGATTTGAACCATGTTATAGTGGCATCAGTAAATCCAGCCTTCGATAATTTTGAAAATAATATAGAATGGTTCACCGTGTCAAAGGCCTTTGATAGGTCCAAAAAGACTGCTCCAGTGACAGCGCCTTTGTCCATATTATCAAGAATCGAGTCAGTAAAATGTATCAAAGCGACTTCGGTTGATAGATTTGGTCTGAAACCAAATTGCACTGGCGATAGAATCTTTTCATCCACAAGGTATTTGTAAACTTGGTGATGTACAACCTTCTCTAAGACTTTGCTGACCGTGGGTAGAATAGTGATCGGTCTATAATTTCCAGAATCGCATCTGTCTCCAGATTTAAATGGAGCAGTGACTTTACCAAATTTCCAGATCGACGGGAATTTCGACGACTCCAATGACCTATTGAACAACTTTGTTAAAACTGGTGCTATTAATGAGGCAGAGTCCTTTAGAAGACGCGCGCTAATCTTGTCAAGTCCTATGGCTTTGTTGGTCTTTAGCCGATTTAATTCTGTACGGACAAACGCTTCTTCCACAGGTTGGAAGTTGAAACCACTAACAGGATTAGCATCAACAGTCAAAGAAGGGTTTTTCCAGATGTAATTTAGACCAGGAGTTATCTTAGCAGCGAGTTTCTTAGCAGCGAGTTTCTCAGTCCATGGGCGTACCGGGCGGGGGGGGGGGAGCGAGGGGGGCGGCAGCCCCCTCAGTTTGTTGGGCAAACGAAGCCAGTCGGGCGATATTCGCTTCGCAGTCGGGCAATATTGGCTTATTATAAAAATAAATGGGACAAATTCTGTCAATTTTGTGGGAAATTCTGTCAATTTTGTGGGAAATATGCTACCTAATAGGAATTTATTGTAATCACTCCTCCGCCCCCGGTTTCCGGTTTCTTCGGAAATTTTTTTTGAAAACTCGGGCACAATCCGAAAAAGTCGGGCAAATTTCTTTCCGCCCCCCCCCCCCTAATTTTTTCCTTCCCATACGCCCATGTGTCTCACCGATGTAATTTTTAGAGTGTGCCCTCATCTGAACATTCATAACTCGTTTACTCGTTCACATTTGTCAGACTGAAGAAAATAGCACCTAAAACTGGCAATGAAATTGCAATAGCCGGTTCCCCTTATTACGTATTCAGAAAACAACTACCATGATACTTTGCGGGTATTTTCTTCATTATGCAATAACACGTCCGAAAAGCATGGTGGTAGTTGTATTCAGAATACGCAATAAGGGGAACCGGCTATTGTAAACTTAACGGGCCTTAAATTTCAGGCTGGTCGTTCCTTAATTCACTGTATCGGATAGCTTTGCGTAGCGGCGCGAAAAAACACCTATCCGATACGGAATGTACATCTTTCAGAAGCTGAGCAAAACAACATCTCTCCGTTGCAATAAATCCTCTGAAAATAGCGTTCCTAAAAGGTACGGATACGTGTTTTTTCACGTCGCCACGGAAAGCTATCCCGAACAAGTGTAAACGTATAGCCTGTAAGATACCTATAGCTTCCGGTTTACAGGTGATATTTATTTCAATTTAATTTATTTAATATTCGCCCAAATCAGTTTATAAAATTAACAATTTAAACAAAAATATTTACAATACTAATAAGAGTTAGTATAATTACATAGGTGATTATTGAAAATTCTCCACGCTGATTGGTTGCCGTTGAGGTGATTATTACGCGATAATCACCTAAGCGATTTTCAAAATGGCGGCCGAAGCCTTTTTGTCAATTAAATGACAAAGAAATGTGTATTTTCTTATTTTTTCCAAATAATCACCTATGAAATTATACTAAAACAATTATTCACCTCAGGCTCGGTGATTATCGTGAATAAAAACCTCGACTTCGTCTCGGTTTTTATTCACCGATAATCACCTCGCCTTCGGCGAATAATTGTTAATTAATACCAGTCCAATTGTTTTCAAAGAAACTACGGTGATATATTTACAATAAGGAAAGTGCGTAAAGATATAATAGACTATAACAACAATTTGGCTTTTCGCTTTGTGCTAAGAATTCCACTTATTTAAATTTGACAGAAGAAAATACATTTTCATTGTAGATTTAAATATTGGAAGAGATCTAATTTGCTTATATTGCGTCGGAAGACTATTCCACAGATCGATGCCGTTAAGCGTTATTACAGAGCGTGTGTTTTTTATAATTTATTCTAGTACAACTTTTGTGTAGCAATGATGCGTTTCTTGTGTTTTAATTATCGATTTCTTTGTTAGTTAAAACACATTTATTAAAAATTTCTGAAAGATTTTGTAGATGAAAATATCGGAACATAAGGTAGTGTTCATTATTTAAATGAATAAGGTATAAGAAAAAGAAAACAACTCAAGGATTGGGTGATAAAAATTTATTGTCATTTCCAAAGCATGACTCACTGAAATATTGAAGACTGAGAAGCAACAGTCATCAATATGGCAATATGTCAAATATGGCAAGATGTCAACAGTCATATGTCATATGTCAATACAATATGTGAATCAATCAGAGTCACTATATCTGGATAATTTCCCGATTTGTTGGGAGGCAAATGGTGTCTGGAAAGAAAGTACATGTGCAGACAACATGAAACTTTAGACTGCAGAAAATTTCACAAGCAGTTATCAAACTCATGTCACAGAAGTGATAAAGGACATGTGTGACAACTGAATGGTATCCATTTGTAAAGTTTTTGGCCAGGGGTGGGTATTTATTTTTCAATTGATATTTGAGGTTGGTGTAATCAATTTTTTTTACTTTTTACGAAAAACCTTTCTCTTCGGTGCCACCATAAATAATGACCGCTCCCTAAATAAACTTGTTAAACGTACTTATATAAACGTACCCGTAAATCGAGGTACGACTTGCAACGAAATCCAAGATATTCCGGACCGGGGTACGAAAATTGATCGGAGAATAGTTCGTAAACTCGTAAACAAATGGTGTATCTTGAACTTTTTATTTCCTGTCTATGTGGCACGTTTTACGATATATACTGAAAAGTTAAAGGACGACGTCAAGGTACATAGGGCGGTGGCAAGTCCGGCATCTCTTTCCACGTTGTCTGCGCAGTTGGTTGTTCACTTCCTTGAGCTTGTTCTTGAACACCATCATCACCAGTCAGAAGAGCCACAGAGTCATCATGGGCATAAAGTTGACCATCTCGTCCAACGACTGATACAATTACCCCTGGAAATATATCATAACAGCTTTGATTGTAAGTAAATGGAACTGTGCTAATCATCCTTATAAATACTTGCAGCTGAGATTGGATCAAGTCCGTCTCTCTAGAGTCCGAGGGAGAGCGCGAGGTGCCATAACGCGGGAAAGTTTGAGGGAGAAGACGGACTTGGCTCACCTGCAAGCGCGCCAAATTTACCGACCCGTTTTTCCGTCGGTAACGCGTCATAACTAGATTGCAATAATTTATGCTAATTGCAATAGAGCGGAAATAACAAAGTATCTTGTTTCAAAAATGTATAGCCTGCTGTCCATAGACATGGTGCTGTCTCTCTTCGTGTCCGGTTTAGTTTATACTTAATTAAATGATGAATACGTTTTAAGAAGGTTATTGATATGACTATACTATATAAAACTGCACAACTAGTGTCACACTATTATTTTTTTTACTTATATTAAGTGTCACGGCAAACTTCGTGATCACACGAAATTTTGATACAGTCAGGGATATTTTGTTCAGGACAAATTTTGTGCATATAGTAATAATAACTAACTAGAAGAGTCTATAGATACGATTTGATAAAAAGTGTATCTTTAAATATAAGGCTTATAGTTTATATTAAAGGCGTATTTTAGTTTCGATCGCGACGGGAATTTTAATAATTTTGCCCTGACACTTGCGGTTTCGTGTACATAATTCCCGCCAAAATAATAAATCTGATTCGAAACATTGCAGGTGAGCCAAGTCCGTCTCTCCCTCCTCTCTTGCACCTCGCACGCCGCTTCGCGGCGCGCTCGATCTCGTCGCTTCGCGACTCCAACTCTAGAGAGACGGACTTGATCCAAGTCTAAGAGCTAAGCTGAATTACGAAGGACGAAGCTCAACCTGATCGAGTCGAAGACTTTCTAAGGGCGTCTCTGGCAGCCACCTTATGACTCATGTCTGATCACGGAGCACAGCTACGGTGAAATGGTCAGTTAGGAGCTAATCTCAACATAACCTTTCAACATTCCCTGTGGGAGGAAACTGGAATACCCGGAGAAAACCCACGACTTTCTGTATGGAGCATTCATGACTGACTCTTTTCACATCAGTGTCATGCGTCTGCCCCGCAAATCGAAACCACGATCTGTGGTGATTTCACCAATGCCTAACAAGCCATTATACAATGTTAATCAATATGTAATGGTAAATTAGCCAATCATATTGCTTTATTTTGCTCACATGATAATACTGGATACCTGGTGAAGTATATTAATCCAGTCCTAGAACTGGATCAAAATTAATTCAGTCGTTATATCAAAATTAATTCACCCACACATATATTCATATATATTCATATGAGATATCATTTCAAATCCTCCAATTCGGACTGGACTAGATTAGACTCGGCTTCGCCTCGAGTTTGATCAAATTGCGCGGATCGACATCAAATCTATTCCAGTCTTCATAGTCGGATTTGAAATATTGTTTAAAGTAAGGGGACATCAGACCTATACTTAACATGATTCGTTCCAACGGTCCGTTGGCATGAACCAGAGTTTATTTTAAACAGCCATAACATTGATTGTACAAGATCAATTTTAACTATGCTAACTTTAGCTACTCTCGGCCTGGTTGCGTAATTTTGAAGACGGGTGTACTGAATACATATTATATATCATACCTGCCTGTGAAACTCGACGATTTTTCACGCACCATATTCGATACGCAGCAATGCAAACTGCCAAGACAATCACGAGAACTGGTGTGGCAATGACATACCACGGCGTCTTGCATCCAATGTTGGTACATTTGCCACTGTTACAGCAACCATCATCATCGCAGTCGTCTGACTTGGAGCATGATATACCATCACAACTGTCGAGGCAAAGCAACTTATCGTCTGGTTTACCACAACAATGCATCCGACAATATCCTCCAGATTTCTTGTACCTACACAGTCGTTCCTGTGACGTTGACAAAACATTCAAAAGTATAACGAACAGTAGGAACTGTAAACGAGACATAATTGGACCGATATTTGTTGACATACAAAACTATAAAGCCTTTTTTGAATGTCGAAGGCTCGAAGCTTTATTCAACTGCGTGACTTTACTGCAATTTGCCAATTAGTTTCGTTTTGACTAAGTTAAAACAATGCCCATGCAATGCTTCCCCTGTGGTGTTGTGTTGTTTGAATTTGAAAAGGTCTAATATTGAAACATCAGATTAGTCATTCACGCATAACACCAATTGCAATGTTTTAAAGTCACGAAATTATATCTGATTTAATCTTTTGTAAATAGATACGATTTACCGAGTCGTGGCAATGAAAGTGTTCCTAAACTATTCTACCAATTCATTTGCTCACATGAACCAATTCATTTTCTGAGTTATTTGAAGATTTGATCATGACTTCCTAGGTAATTGATAAACTTCCTGTTGAATGCAACAGTCATCAGTATTAAAGACGCCGGAAGACGATGCAGAAATTATCAAATACACGAAATTAGAGCAATTTTTTCATGATTTGAGATATTGGGTTCAAAGTCAGTTTATCTTGTTATAGACACTTGTCCCTTGCTTGGGATATTAGAGAGTTTGAGCAAGATAACAAAGTACGAAGACGAAGGCATACTTGACAATTTTTGCCGCCTGCAGATTATCTTGCCATTAGTGAGCTGGACGTCACTGGTAGTTGCTCAACGTGTCTTCCCATGTGTCACTGTTTATGAATACTGACCATAATTCTTGCCCTGATCCAGAAGGGAGCAACGAGACATGAAACTACAGGGTGTATAAAAAAAACGCAACCTCGGAATTTCCTAAGAAATCACTTCGCAATTCTTAAGCATAAAAGATTTTACGCCCCTGGGAATTGAAATCGAATTGCTAATAGATCATATTACTGTTGTTGTGCATTAAATAAATGCATAAATTTTGCTTTATGCACTCGCGTGTGCAGTAATTTTGACAGTTATGCTATTTTAAATTCCCAGGCGCCTAAAATCTTTTGTCTTTAAAACAACGTCGATTTCTTGGGAAATTCCGAGGTTGCGCTTTTTTTGATACACCCTGTATATCCCGTCTTTGTCCTTCTGCCTTCGTGCAGAACGAAGTTCACAACGAATTTTGCCAAAATATTCGTTGTGAACGAAGGCAGAAGAACGAAGACGGGATATGGATTCATGTCTCGCTGTTTTATACTGATCAGGGTAAGGATTTGAGTCAGCATTCACAAACAGCTAGACATGAATCTCTAATCTGTCTTTACTCCTGACCCTAAACTCAGAATGCGCAAGATAATGTGCAAGACAGGCAAAAATTGTCAACCACGTCGTCGTCGTCGTCCGACTTCGTTTTCTTGCTCAAACTCTCTAATTTAGTGACAAGACGCCGTACAACCACTGAAATCAACATCGTTGTACAAAGCCCTGCCGAATAATCACAGCTGACCGAACTTTAAAAGAAACATTATAATAAGGATAAATGCTGTGCAACCTAACTATGAGCTCAGAAATGGCCATTCTGACTTAGCCCTTGCAAAACCGAGAAGAGTATTTCTTAAACAAAGTTTCAAGTATGTAATACACGTGGGTCACACCCGAATTAATTAAATAATTTCTGTACATTTTCTTAATTCTCGTATATAATTCTTGTTAACGGTTTGACGCTACTCCTGGAAATCAACAAACTGTTGACGAGGCTATAGCGGAGTATATCCATTTACCAAGTCAAATCCGAGTCCGAGTCAGTCCCGAGCCCGAGTCAAACGCCCGAGTCGCGTAAAAAAAGACGAAAGTGAAGAAAATTCACAGTCGAATAGGGTTAGGAGTAGGTTTAGGGTTCCCTAACTAAGTCATTTTACCGACAAAAACAATTAAACAGTGACTCGGACATTTGACTGGAACTCGGATTTGAGTCAGTCAGTAACCGACAAACTCCGAAATTGAATAAAATTCACAGTTGAATAGGGTTAGGGTAAGTTAGGAGTGGGATTATGGTTAGGATTAGGGTACTAAGTCATTGAACTGCAAAGACCATCGATTAAACTATGACTCGGACATTTGACTCCGGCTCGGATTTGACTCGGTTAACCGACAAACTCGGCTATAGCGTCTTTAAATAAAGTTTGTGCCATACCATACAGATTTACGAAATCATGCAGTTGTATTATAGATGATATAAAAGATCTTTATATACTTAGATCATCAGCAACAAGCGAAAGCCGAAAGGGCTTTAAAGCCGATATCTCAGTCACGGAAACGGCCTATATAGCCAAGGGCTTCGGCTTTAAAGCCCTTTCGCTTGTTTCCCGGAAGAGTCTATTGCATGACAATAATATGATTATCCTAGCACACGGGTTTTCTGATCGATTGGCAGAAATTCTGAAATGTGTCACCATTTCTGACTTTGCCACTCGCTAGGTTTATAGTGAAATTATATACAAAATATAAAAGCAATGAAGATATGACATTGCTGAGAAGGTAAAACTTTGTCAAAAGAGGAGCTTATGCCATCACTTGCTTGAAGCTGTCTGGTCGGTTGACTGTTGCTCGTCGTTGGTTCTGAAAGCAATCACCATCGCGGTACATTTCCTGAAAAGCACAAATACTCTCGTGTCAAGCATTAAAAACTAGGGGCACTCTGAAACTTGGCAGTTGAGTGCGAACTGAAATGACTGCAGTACGAAACGATCGCGCCATAAGCAAGGCAAGGTCTATTGGACAACCATGACGCAGTCATGGTAGATTGGTAGAATATTTTACTTTTGGTAAAATTTTGTCAATTTTTGAAAAAATGTAGTAACAAGATTTTCTTCGAAAAATTTCGGTACACTATTCGAGATTACAACCTAGTCAACCTGCTTGCCTTGTCGAAGCCAGATAACACTAATTATTGTTTCGACGAACCTTTGAAATCACCATCATTCTACGACCAGCTAGCTCCCAACTTGAATTGCATGATGTAGCTCCGGTCGGTAGAGCATCGGACTGGTAAACCGAAGGCCCTCTGCACGCGGGCTAAAGGCCCTCGTGAGTTCGAATCCCTGCCGGGCCAAGTAGAGCGTTCTCTTCTTGCTGTATATTGTTACTAAAATTTTTTATCAAACCGGGTGCGGACGAAATTAATTTGGTAAAAAAATTCTCGACAATAACTGCTTGGAAAAATCTGGTCGTACTTAAACCAGGTCTTGTGTGATCGACATTGAATAAATCATTTATAGTGTTAGAAGCGGACATATACGTATATATATATATATATATTTCACCTGTTGTCTCGAATAAATGTTTGGGAGTTGATCTTGATGAGAGATTGACTTTTGACATCAATATTGAAGAAATATGCAAGAAGATCTGTTCAGGCATAGGAGCATTGAGGAGAATTAAACCATTCGTTCCGCAGACCTCTCTTGTTACATTATACAAATCATTAATTCAACCGTATTTTGATTATTGCTCTCCCCTGTGGGATACATGCGATAAAATATTAAAAGATAAATTGCAAATATTACAAAATCGTGCGGCTAGGGTTATCACTGGAGCAAGATATGATGATAGGATTAGATCAAGTGATCTTTTGGAAGGTTTAGGATGGGATAATCTACATGTTAGGCGGGCTAAGTTGAAGAGTATCCTAATATATAAAATCCTTAATGAAAATTGTTCGCCATGTTTAAGAGAAAGCCTTGTAAGACTTAGTGAACTTAATAGACGCCATAATTTACGAAATCAGGAAACGGATCTAGCACTTCCAAAACCAAAAACTAATTTTTTGAAGAGAAGCTTTAAATATAGCGCATCAATGCTGTGGAATAATCTTCCATTAGATGCAAAAAGAGCGACTTCGCTCAGTCAATTTAAGCGTAGTATTGCGGAACTGTCCTTTAAGAACCATGTTGACTTAATTATAGTTAACTCTCTTTATTTACTTTACTTGACTTTATTTTTCTCAATTTGTTGTTGGGGGGAGGTTGGGGGGTTTATATAATATTCCATATATTCTACTGTTTTATATATCACGCCCCTCCTGTAAATCAGCTTTTAGTTGTGCGAGGCTAGCGTGTTCTTGATTTTAAATAAAATTGATTGATGATGATGATGATACGCTTCGAAACTAAATATCTTTAGTATTATTTATTTTATTGGAAATTTTCAGTACCTTGAGATAGTATTATTTATTTTATTGGAAATTTTCAGTACCTTGAGCGGCTGGGGTTGCTGCCTGACGGCGAAGTTTCGGTCCCCACCAGTATTTCCAGACGAAAAACAGAACTATCAAGATTACAACCAGAATAGGAGCTGCATATTTGAGCCATTCTGCCTCCGAGGTATTCGATGTGTCAGTATCACACTTGTTAGTACAACTAAAACGAACAATTCATTCCGTGAATCAATTTCACTAACTGGTTTCTATATGGTCGTAACGGTCGTAAAGATTGAGTCACGATCTTTCTCATCAGCCGAAATACAACATTTTAGAATTGAAAATACGAGGAGTGGTTATAACTATATGAGAATACTTATCAGTTTATATGCGGTTTACAGGTATAAACTATTTAACAATTAGACAATGAGGCCGAGTTGTCTATGAGCGAATAGTCAACGAGGCGAAGCCGAGTTGACTATTTGCTCATAGACAACGAGGCCGAGTTGTCTAATTGTTTTAGTATAAACTTTAACATTAATTTACAACTACGCTGCAAACACAATACAAAAATACACAAAAAAACCCCATAAAACCATTAAAGGTAAACAAATATTTTAGTTTTTGTTCGCGTAAAAATGTTTTACAAAATTCAGTTCTAATTTTAAAATTTCATTGAGTTTATGTTATTTTGTCTATTTTCTTACCCTTAAAAATTGCCATTCCGGCCATATTTGTGTTGCTTTTTTCGGGGTTTTTTAGTACAGAATTGTTCAACAAGTCATCCAAAAATCATCAGACACTTCGGCAAAAGTGCAAAACGCGAATTTCCCGCCATTTTGAATTTTCTATTAGTAGGCTATCACTAATAGCCTACTAGTAGCGTAGCCAATCAGAAGGCACGATATGTGATAGCCTACTAGTAGGTTTATACTAATATAAACTGGCCGTTGAGAAAGATCGTGACTTTACGACCATATGGAAACCAGGCTTAATTACGATCAGTTAGAACACATGGTTTTGGGCGTCTACTGGAACAGTAGTCGCCGTATGCTGTCGCCAAGAAGTTCAGATATATGTATGCAGTGCACGGTTCGCTTCTCCTGCGAACAGGCTCTTTGGTTAGGTTAAAACCCGCGCGTTTACGAAAGTTTCCGAACTGTTTACGATAAATTGTTTTAACATTCATCATTACGCATTCTTTGTTTTTGATCCAGCAGACGCCATGTACGCTACAGCGTACCTATTTTTAGATTATGCTACTCTAATCTAAGCCAGACTATTAAAGGCACAGTTCAGCCTGTTGAACGATGGTTTTTAAGGCGCATTTCAGCCCTGTTAATTGAAAAAACTAACTAGGAAAATCAATTAAGCATAATTCAAAATCACCAATCTTAATGTTTTTAACATTTTAAAACATTCATATTGTTAAAAACATCGAGTTTACTGATTTTGAATTATGCTTAATTGATTTTCCTAGTTAGTTTTTTCAATTAACAGGGCTGAAATGTGCCTTAAAAACCATCGCTCAACAGGCTGTACTGTGCCTTTAAAGACCTATTAAATTATATATAATTCATGAAGAAATCACAAAAGAAATCATGAGCCATTGTGTATCTGATACAGAATCATGCTGATTCACATAAACCTGATTCACATAAACATTAAGTTCAATTTTTTAACCAAATATTATTAATTTATTTTAAATTGTTGAAGAATACGATAACGAATGTTCTCATGAATAAGACGTTTCACAAGCCATTTACAACATTCGCGGATATACAAACTCTCGCCTTCGGACATATAACTGCATGAAGATTATCGATACGCTTGCCGATCTGTTTTTCAAAGTGGAGACTTCTGCTGAGAAGGAAGCACTTTGAATATAGTCTGCACGTGAAAAAACGAAGGTTTTCAAAAACACTGACGTCTCGAGCGCAGTCATGCGTGGCGAACGTGCATCTACTTGTGTTGTTAAAAATGAATAAAATGACGGCAGTTGTTATAATTGAAGGCAAATGAAAGGAAATATTTTTTACTTACGTTCCATTCCTGCAACAGCTGCTATCGCATTCAAATGAACGGGAACACCGTAAGCCAACACAACTGTCGATGCAAAACAAAACCGACCTCCCACAACAGTCCTTGAAACAACGCTCCCTTGTGATGACATTTTCACATGATCTCTGTACTGTAGGTGGAATGACCACACATAAAACAACCATCATTAATGCTAAGCGAACCATTATTATATATGGTGGTAACTAGCTTGTTAACCATGCACAATATCCTTTGAAACTTTTCTTAAAAGTCGAAGCTCTTTCTATGAAACTTTTCAGTTACACCTGACTCAAACCCGGGTTCAAATGACAAACCTCGAACTAAATGCGATTATAACTGTGGTCAAGCGACTAGTCATTATTTATATCAGGTTCGTTCACAACTGACGTCACGAATAATTTCCCAGCCAGGTTGGTCTAGCTCTCACGAATCAAAACAAACAGCTAGCTATTCGCCCACGATTTATGAGATTGAGGCGGCCAATGTGAGAGTTTGTGACGTAACTATGTCAGAACTTCGGCAAGGGAAGTTTTTGACGTACGTCAACCGAGCCGTTTTTGATGACGAGTGATGGTGTCTTAATATACGGCTCAGTGTGTTGGCTAGTACATTCACAGTAAAGCCTTCTGACTTTGCTTTGTTGGTAAATTAAAGCGCCCTGGAGCAAACCAATCTTAATCAGACACTGCGAACCTGCACTGAAGCGGTCTCCCTCGACCTATTTTGCAAGTGACCGCTTAATACAGTTATACAAAACAATAAAAAATTATGAGGGCTGTGCGAATTTAGTACACATGACGCAAAAATCTCACAACTTGTCCACAAGATGTGTTCGCAACAGGTTTGTAGCAAGCTGGTCAACAAGTTGCAACAATGTTGTTATTTTATCAAGTTGCTACAAGGTTGTCACTCACAACTTGTTGACAAATTGTTGAATTACAGAAACAAGGTTGAACGTTGAAGGACGATAACAAAGGACGATAACAAACTACATATATATTTGAAGGACGATAACAAACTATATATATATATATATATATATATATATATATATATATATATATATATATATATATATATATATATATATATATATATATAGTTTGTTATCGTCCTTTGTTATCGTCCTTCAAATATATATATAGTTTGTTATCGTCCTTTGTTATCGTCCTTCAACGTTCAACCTTGTTTCTGTAATTCAACAAGTTGTGAGTGACAACCTTGTAGCAACTTGATAAAATAACAACATTGTTGCAACTTGTTGACCAGCTTGCTACAAACCTGTTGCGAACACATCTTGTATAGTATAATATATATAGTTAAAGTTTTGCCGTGAGATATTGAAGTTTTGCCCTGATAAGAAAGTTTTGCCGTGACACTTGTGGGTCATGTATGCATGCATTTATTTTATAGTTAAAATTATTTGTATTATTGGCGAAGCTGAATAAATAAAGAAAGAATGATAACAGAGTATAGCTGTAGGCAAAAACTGATTGTCAACGGTCCAACAACTTGTTATTATTATTAAATTATTAAAACTATATTTATTCACGCTTACCCCTTCAATAACAGCTGATTTCCAAAGGAGGCGTGAGAATATAAAAAAGAAAACTATTTATATACGTCATATCGCTGTCCGTGCAATGAGTCGTACGAAGTGATTATCTTTAATACTGCCTTTATTACTTTAATAAGCTATAGTTCGCTAATTTGAGATGTTCTGACTTCCTTTTATACAATTTTTACTGCAGTATTTATGTAAATTAACAACATTTAATGGGCCGCCTAATATGTTCTCACGGTAAAAACTTTAATTTCTCACGGCAAAACTTGTATAAGTGCTTCTACTTTCGAAAGCTAAAATTTCCTTTCTTTCTCTTTATTTTGACTGGCAAAATTTCCTTCAAATGGTTAATCAAATTGGCAGAATATTTAACTGAGTGTTCAATTTCATGATTCTAAACCCGTACCAGGGCAGTGGCGGCGGATCAGTTTTTATTTTGTGGGGGCTAACTTCGATAAGTTGTCCAACACAATTTTCCCCCCGGAAATGTTGGCGGGGGGAGCAAAAAATTTCCGTACGTAACATATTTCCTACTTGATATTTTTAATGCGCGTACCCATTTTCTTTCATCTTTCCTGAATTTTTTCTCTATATTTTCCCAATTTTTATATACAGTATAAGGGGGCGGGGGGGGGGCTTTTATTTTTGGGACTATCCCGTACCGATAACCACAACGTCATTCAGGGGGAGAAAGATGAGGACTATCCGTGTATATAACTGTATATCAATACGGAAAAAAGTTTTATATTTGTTTATAATATAGCACAAAGAAACATAAAGAAAGAAATTTTCCGACTTTCCATGTTAACATTGAGTTATATCAACACGGCTTTTAGCCAATCAGCGTTCAGAATTTACAAATGCTATATTATAATGTATATTAGGTGCATGGTGTACGCATATAATGCGTGTGCTGTTTTGTGTCTTTTGTATGTCAATTCATTGGAACTGATATCGTAATTGAAGTATGTACTGTATCAATGCAACGTTATTACTTGGTAAAAGATAGGTGTGATTTGATGATGCACATTTATCACAGGGTCTGATTAGACCATGGTGCGATATTGCAAATTAGGGATTGGTAATAAGACCTGAACAGTCGCTTGTGGTTTTGTGTTGTGTAATTTCCCTGTATCTAATTTAGCAAATGGTTTTCTTAAATCTTCACACGGTATGGAGACCATAAGCAATAACCCATCATTCCTTGCGCGCTCAGAGTTTAAGGTTCAAGTTTTTGTAAGGACAACCTTAATTGAATTAGCTGTATAATTATCTACAAAATCATCCACCCACAAAAATCATTCCACCATATTATATTTATAAAGCATGTAAAAAATTGTCAGTCTTAAAACTGTTAGTACTTAGTAGTAGACAAAATGATGCGAACCGATTATTCAAATCGGTGTATTATGAATTATTATACAAAGACAAAGTGTTAAAATGATGATGTTGAAATATTCCTGCCATATAAGGGAAACTACATTTATTATGCCGAGGGGGGGATGAAGATATTAAGGGGGAGGGGGGCACCGAAATATTTTCTGGTATTAAAGGGAGGGGCTCTGAAAGTTCTCGATATACTGAAGGAAGGGGGGGGGGACTTTTCAACGTTTTGGTCCAGCAGGGGCCTGGAGTGTTCGCTCCCACCATAGTTAATAGAATAGATGGTTTGGAAACTCATTAGAATAACAACATAACTCATTACCCATGTTAGTGAATAACATTCATAGATCTGGTCTTTTACCTTGACGTGAGACGTATTGTATTTTTGCCCCACTAACCAATAGCAATGTTTTAGGAAAGTTGCCTATCTACGACTCAAACAATATGATAAATTGAAAATTGCGGTGAAAGAATATATTTATGAATAAATGTTGACTAACATAGATAATGAGTTATAATGCTATTCTAATGATTTCCAAACTGTCTATACTATATTAATTAACTGACATTGGGGGAGCTCCATATGGAATACGTAAAAGAAGGCTGCAACACGCCTGTCAAAAACGCATGCAAAAGCACCAATATGTTTCAACTTTTGAAATTTTCATTCTGTTTCTACCAAATTTTCCATGAATATAGAACATATCGTTCTTACAAATCGGTTTTTTTTTGTTTTTGGAATTGCTAATTTTGGCGGGTAAATTATGTCACAAACGTGGCGCCAAAAAAATAAAATAAGCTATTGGTGATTTTACTGAATCCATTTGTAGAGTGGACCAAGGGTACTTTAATTAATTAAACTGAAATCTGTTTCTAAATACAACCATTTTATGGGAAGATATAGCGATACAAGTGTCGAAAAATCGGCCATATTGTTACTAAAAATAGAACAAAATGGCGGATTTTTAGAAAATTAAGTCATTATATCTTCGCAAGGAATGGTTGTCAGGGACGTAGCAACTGGGGGTTGTGGGAGGAGGGTGTAAGGTTCCCCCTACTGTGAAATTCAGGCAAAAATCATGTAAAATTCAAGTTTAAATTTTGATATTTTCAGGTAAAATTTGTGTGATAAAGTAATTATTTTTGCGAAATGATAACCATTTTTGTAAAATACAGTCCATTTACATGCAATTTGTTTGCGAGTTTGTTTTAGAAAACGCCGGAAATTCAGTCCTAGAGCTTCAAAAATGTAAAAATTTTCTGGCGGAGGACCCCCAGACCCCCCTTTTCTCCCAAAACTTAGTATGAGAGTGCCAATCAATCACAAATTATTATTATTACACCTATAATTGTCCGACATCCCCCCTCCAAACGTCAGATGCTTTGCTACGTCCCTGATGGTTGTATTTGAAACCGATGTCAGTTTAAGATATCCTTAGTCTGCTCTTCCAAAAACAAAAAAAGCATGCGATTTGTAATAATGATATGTTCTGTGTTCATGGGATATTTAGTACAAACGGGATAAAAAGTAAAGAAATTGGAGCATACTGGCGATTTTGACAGGCATGCAAAGACATTTGCAACAGATGCCAGGTGATATGTTGGCAATTTCATTCGATTCTGAAAGCTGGGGAGGGGCATTGGAAATTTTAAAAACTTGAAGGGGGGGGGCTTCGAAAATTTTCCAATAACCTCAACAGGGGCCCTGAAAAAAATGTGCGTTTTTCAAGACATCTTCATCCCCCCCCCTCGGCGTAATAAATGTACTTTCCCTAAGTATTCAAGGCTTGTAAAATGGAGGAGGGTGTGCCATATTGCATGGAGCCGTCTGGGTTTGCAGCTCGGTAGGCTGTTGATGTCTGTAGGCGATCACCGTTGCGCTTACGTTTGCTGAAAGTCACAAATAAATCTAGTGTGAATTGACCATTGAGCTCCAATATACTGGAGCGAAAACTCGAGCAGATACCTTATTATAGGAAATTAACGATGCACTTTATTAACGCGACATAAATTAACGTGTCATCTAATTAACGCGAATTGCATTCAAGTGCTTCTAAAACTGATTAAATTAACGCGAATATGACAGTTTATGGTTAACAAGTTAATTTAACTAACGCGAATTGAAGAATATAAACACAACAGCAAAAGTTTAATATTATGTACTACCAATTACTCTTGTTGAGTCATGTTTTAAAGTATTATCAGGTTGCTTAGTCACAGACAATGTTGACAATTTATTTAGAGATCAAGTTTCTTATATTACAGCAACATCGCGAACTATGATCAAACTAAACGCCTTTAGCTTTTCTAAGCAGGCTTTGATATGAATTTAAAAGATGATAGACGCAGTTAAGGATTATTTAACAGCGAAAAGATTTGGTAATGTCGCCTACCTATGTGTAATTGTTCATTTCCTTTGTGGTTTGGCATTAGGTGCTTTTACCACATTTTTGAGGATAACCGAGAACGCGGGCAAATTTTTTTGTTCAGTTGATGCTAAGAGTACGGCCACGTACAAGAAACAGGTCGATCAGGTATGTTTTGCAAGATATGATCAGGCGTATAATTCCCCTCTGCCTTTGTGCGGATTTGTTCCACTGAGTATTGGAGTCGCAGTTCTTGTCAGTGTTATTTACTCACTGATAGTGAGCACCCGCGTCGACGAAATAGAGTCAATACACAAACGACAAACTGATGGCGAAACCGAGAATCGTGGACAGAACAGGAAAACGGTATATGTTTTTTATTCATATTTTGTCCACCTTGTTCTTCGTGGGCTATTTGTGATCGCTTTAACTGTTTTGCAACACACATATTTCTATCCAAATGGGTTCGATTTCAAATTCAACTGTAATTTACCCCCAACGGATCAAGTATCATCCAACATAAATACACCAAAGAATGCGAGTCGTAATTTGAGTGGTACATTAGTAACATGTGAGAATGCGACAGCGTCAGAAAAATGGGTATCGGGTATATTTGTGTCTGTAATAAACAGTATTGTTGCCGCACTTATACTTGGGGAAGTGATTTATCTTTTGCCACGTTTACCAATCCTCAACCGTCATTCTGGAGTTGGCTGTAGCCGTGATTCTAAATTTGTTATTGAATATTTTCTTGGCAAGCAATATCATTTAGTTGGTGAAAGTGAACCTTTAACAGGTATCGAAGGGAACCCTACGTACTGTAGCACTCAGGATTGTATCGACGTTTACAAGAAACAAGTTTTGAATCGTTCTCGTGATCCTGGCATAATTTATGGACCAAACGCTAATATAGATGAATTGTATATTGACGTTGTTATCCATACTGGACGAGCTCAGCATAATTTTCCCAAAGAAATGAAAAGACACGAAATCTACGACGTTTATATGAAAGTTCCCTCAAAATCCATACATTTAGAAAAGATAAGAGATTTATTTTATCCCAATGAAGATACGAAGGGAGAATTTCCCCGTAGCATTCTGGCGATTGGAAGACCTGGGATTGGTAAAACTGTCTTGACCGAAAAAATTCTGCGTGACTGGGCTAATGTAATTGATGAATATTATTCCGACAAGATTGTCTTCTTTTTGAAATTCAGATGGTTCAACGAGAATATTAACAAATTAACAAATATATCCCTTAAAACATTTCTTCAGTTTGGGACGGGACTGAGTGAAGAAAATTTCGAAAGTATTTACGAAGAAATTGCAAAAGAGCCATGCAAAGCCATTCTTATTTTTGATGGTTTAGATGAATATCACAGCGACCCCATAAGTTGCTTAGACCAATCTCGCATCATTCCAAACGATCCTAATACTGGCACGTCAGCAATCAATTTATTCATTAAACTAGTTTTGGGCGACTTGTTGAAAGGAGCAACGGTTCTAGTAACGAGCAGACCGACTGCAGATGATTTTTACTCGAGACTTGATTTTGATCGAAACGTGGAGATTATTGGTTTCACTCGCGATAAAATTGAAGAGTATGTCAGCCGATTTTGTGACAATAATAATACGAGCGACGTCAAAACGAAGATATGGAACCACATAAAATCCTCATCAGAACTGTTAAACTTATGTTACATTCCAGTCAACTGCTTTATAGTGTGTGTTACCCTCTCTGGGTGTCTTAGTGACCCAAGAAATGAAACTGGTGCTCTTCCAACAACACTGACAGAACTTTACCAGACAGCCATTGATCATTTTGAGAAACATCATCACAGAAATGCAGACAGAAACCCTACAGCACATGAAGCGTTAAAGCAACTTCAACGATTAGCATTCCTTGCTATGGAAAGCGGGCAACTGGTTTTTAATCAAACCTTATTTAATGAGAAAATGAAAAAATCAGGTTTATTGAACAGTTTATCCAATCCTATTTTCCCACTACAAACACAATTTTGTTTTATCCACTTAACCATACAAGAATTTCTTGCTGCAAAACACGTGTCTGAAACATTCACTCCACCCGAAATAAAGAAGTTCATTTCCGACCATGTTAAAAGTGGTAAATGGCATTTAGTTCTTCAGTTCATTGCAGGACTTTTGGGCAAGAAAATCAAGAATTTTGATAAGGAATACAAGGATTGTGTTTTCGCGTTTGCAGAAAGCTTCAAAGTTACTAATGGTAAAATTGTAGTTAAATACCATGAAGTGTTTACAATGAAGTGTTTAAGAGAAGCGGATAATGAAGAGATTACTAAAGAAGTTTGCGAAACAATTGCTATAAACAATTCGGTAGAACTATACACTCATGAGTCATCTTATAATCTTTCTCCAAGTGACTGGGCAGCAGTGACTTTCGTTTTCAAACACATGAAAGAATTGGCAAATTTGACATTGTTAGTATTTGCCGCAGATTGTCTTCCGGAGATTCTAAGATTGCTACGAAAGACATGCCTAAATAAACTAGAAATGGTTTCGGGAGCACATGGCGCTGTTACAGACGAAGTAGACCAAGTATTTAGCGCATTAACGGAATTAAACTGCACGTTCGACCACGAACACACTAAGCTGACTACGTTAGCACTTTATGATTTTGAATTGACCGAAGCAGTTTTACCGATCATGTGCAATTTTTTTGAAAACGGACATGCGAGCCAACTTGAGTACTTATCTCTACTGAATATTAAGGGGATTCAGTCACATGAAATTTCGAAACTTTGTGAAATCCTTAACAATGAACATTGTCCAAATCTTGCATATTTGTCTCTTGAAGAAAATTCAATAGCTGATAAGGGTGCAAAGGTGTTGTGGGATACTCTGACGAAAGGGCTTCGTAATCTTAAAAGATTGAAGGTCAAGCAATATGAGTTCACAGTTCGATGTATTCCTGCGCTAGTGAAGACACTGCAAGATGAACGTTGTCAACTGACTGTTCTATCACTGGCGAACAATGCCATTGGTGATGAAAGTATAGGTATGTTGTTTGAAGATGCCCTGACAAATCAGCGTTGTAAGCTTACTGTGTTGAACCTTGAACAGTGTGCGTTAACGGATCCATGCATACCCAGTTTGTGTAAGGCACTGCAAGATGAACATTGTAAGCTAACTCTATTGTTGCTTACGTCAAATAATTTCACTGCAAACGGCACGAAGTTGCTTCGTGATATAAATAATTATAAAAGTTGTAAAGCTAGGGGTTTACGAATTGACTTCCACCGAACTGCTGGATAAAATAGCAGAACACTAAATTGATGTCTTATGAGTGAATTAGAAATTATATCTGATCTTAACGATTTTGTAAATACACTATATACGGATTACGGCTTTGAATTTGTAAAATAAACGCTGTTTCATTAATAATTGTAGATTAAGTTCTTTGTAAGTTTGCATGGCGATAAAACAAATAATAGTTTTGTTTGTGGAAACACCACATAAATTTATTACTGCAAAGTTTTCGATCCGTAAGCCCGGATCTTCATCAGTGCTAATTACAGCTAATAATATGTAAATATTATATTATTATTAGCACTGATGAAGATCATATTATTAACACTGATGAAGATCCGAGCTTACGGATCGAAAGCTTTGCAGTAATAAATTTACGTAGTGTTTCCAGAAACAAAACTATTGATTGTAGATTACCTTCGCGTTTCTGCGATGTTGCCAATCTATACTAGTCACTAGTGTGATTAAAATCTTAAAGTCCAGGATCAAACGAGGATGGGAGTTGGCAAGCGAGAGTTTGCATGTGAGTTTTCTCAACTTTCGTGTCCCGATCCGAACGAGAACAAAAGTTGCATGAGAGTTGATGAGAGTTGACTGGATATTACTGCGCGCGTAGCAAAAACTCTCGTCAAGTTTCATCAAACTTTGAACGAGCTCAAAGTTAATGAAAGTCGATGAGAGTTGGCGATGAAACACGAACGAGAATTGCAACTCTCATCAACTCTCATTCTTGTTTGAGCGAGGTTTACTGTAATACTACCAATTGTCGTGAAAACAGCTCCCGTAAGGATTTCCTTGTTAAAGTTATTTTTCCTTTTTGTGTTGACGACTAGACTTCAAAATTGTCGAAAAAGGATTGGGTTCAAAATTCAGCGGGGTTGAGAGATAAAAAATTTTGAACTGTATTTTTAGTGTATTTATATATCATGGTTAGTCAACTTAAGTAAATGGAATTAAAAACATACAAATAGTAACTCTAATGTGGAAATCGCACGCAAGCTGTTTTGATGACATTTTATACCACGCTATTTAAGCTAGCCATATGGCTATTGAAGTTCGAATCACTCCTATACCCTTCCTATCTGCATCTAGGCTCGCCAATCTCCCTGTATATCAAAATGTCGAATTACTGAATTTGACTTCCATGATTTTTTGATATAGTTTGACATTTAGTAAACGCAAGAATTAAAAAAGTAGCACGCATATTGTACTAGGAATCTAGGATTACGCCTCGTACCACACTATGCAAAAGTTCATTTAATTATTGATGCATATAATAGTATTAAAACAAAATGAATGCTAATCTGATAATTGAGTGTTTTAAAATGATGACATTTAAAGGTGATCTACAGTCCGTATGTAAACAAAGCCTTTGTTTACATTTTTGTGTCCAAAATATTGAGCTTTATTCGACAACTATTTATATTTTCAAGCTTCTAGAGTATAATAAATGATCAAGAAACAACAATCAGGCTTTTAAAGAACTCAAAACATAGTTAAACTGTTTGTATCATAAAATAAAATAAATAAATGCTAATCCATAGTTAACTATGGCTAATCAAAATCCCTGGGGTGGAGATGCAATTAATGATCAAATACCCCACATATGCCCAACCCCCCCCCCCCTCCTTTGGGAGTTAACATTGATAGGTGCATTTTATGCAGGTTATTTTTGTATTCTCATATAATGTACCTTAATTAAAGTATCAGCAGCATGTTATTGCACGGGACCATTTATCAATATTATTGTATATAAATAGACATATTTTTGTTTTATTGTTGCATTAATTTTAATGAAAATTTACTCACAAAGTTGGTCAAGTGAATGTATAAACTATTAATTTGTTCATTTAGTACAGCACATGTTACAATTATGTACTTAATTGCATGAGTGTGCATGACAGACATTGTTTTAATTGCACCCACTTGTGATTAACCTAGTTTTTGTTTAATTTAAAAATGCTGAAAAAAAATCTAAAAAGTTAGCCAATTGAAATAACAGCATTTCTATAACTTGCTAAACCTAGTCAGTTGCTATTATATCACAAACATCTGTCAACGTACACTCATGCTCTTCCTTACCACTCGAGTCTCCCACTCACCACGTCGCTTTATGAAATTTTTGGAAAAAATCCTATTTTAAAAAACTCAACCCTATACTTGATATGCTGAACATAGACCTCTAAGATATCTCCTGCGGCAATTAGTGGGTGCAAATACTCGCATAGTTCAGAAGCAATATAACCAACATGTGTCCATCCTGTTCCATAGTCTAGATCAATTGCACTTGAGTCCGTTGGATTCAATTGCTCTGGCCAATGAAGAGCAAGGTATGCCTGTTCCAAAATTATGTTGGTAGTTTTTCTCATGAGCAGCACCGATGCACTTGAAATCTTGAATGGTACAGCATGGGTGATTTTGTCCTCGTCACTTTCATCCTCATCACTTAACTGGTCACCACTTTCTGCCCTATCACCTTCATTACAACTTTCTACCCCATCACCTTCATTACCTGACCAGGTTCAAGCACAGGCGGCCCAATCTCGCAAGGGTCAGTATAGATTTTATAGATTTTATACCATAGAAGCTTTATACAGTATAAATTTATATTATATTATATTATATTAATTGTATATTATAGTAAAAATATGTCGTAAAATATAAATTTTAAAATGAAATTTACTTGCCTATTTGCTAGTGTGTGTTCTCCTTTTATTCCTCCTTTGTTGGACTAATATTTTCCGAGACTTTGTACTCCATGTTACTAGTATACATGAAACATGATAAAGGCTAACCATTCCCGATCGTCGATACGACGGCACGGCACTTCGAATCGAAAATTCTCACACTCAAATCGCTTTATTCTCCAAAAAAATTCGCCAGAATGTACAACAAATGCCGTTCTTCGAAAATACGGAGGTACTTCGGCGAGATGTACAAGTTTTGGACCATATTTTAACAATGGAAATCAAAACCCCTTTTATATTGAACTTGCCCAGGCCGAAAATTACTACGGCGAACGTCTGCGCAACCAGGCCTCCTTTACCGTTGGATTTACAGGGGGGGAAGCAGATATTTCCGGTAACAGCCAGCCAATCGCGGCCGCGATAGCGACTGTTTACATTATTTGAAATTTGATATTCAAAATAAAAACTCCTTCGATCGGATACTGTATAAAACTCGAGATGTTGTCGAAGAAACGAAAACTAAACGACGGAGATTGAAGAAATTTAAAGAAGAAGTAATATACAGCGGCTCTTTGTTGGAAAGCATGGTAGAATATGATACTTTAATTCGAAATATTATCGTGAATATATTAGTTGCATCCTCCCCCCTGTAAATCCAACGGTAAAGGAGGCCTGGTTGCGCAGACGTTCGCCGTAGTAATTTTCGGCCTGGGCAAGTTCAATATAAAATGGGTTTTGATTTCCATTGTTAAAATATGGTCCAAAACTTGTACATCTCGCCGAAGTACCTCCGTATTTTCGAAGAACGGCATTTGTTGTACATGCTGGCGAATTTTTTTGGAGAATAAAGCGATTTGAGTGTGAAAATTTTCGATTCGAAGTGCCGTGCCGTCGTATCGACGATCGGGAATAGTTAGCCTTTATCATGTTTCATGTATACTAGTAACATGGAGTACAAAGTCTCGGAAAATATTAGTCCAACAAAGGAGGAATAAAAGGAGAACACACACTAGCAAATAGGCAAGTAAATTTCATTTTAAAATTTATATTTTACGACATATTTTTACTATAATATACAATTAATATAATATAATATAAATTTATACTGTATAAAGCTTCTATGGTATAAAATCTATACTGACCCTTGCGAGATTGGGCCGCCTGTGGTTCAAGACCAGCCAACCACTCAAATAGATCTCTTTCTACAAAATCATAACAAGAAAATTTTTATTTTATTATTTTATACATACACTGTAATCTCTAAAATTAGCAATCTAATGCAAAAGTATGTCACTATTCACAGTAATATTAGAACAATGTTCACACAAGTATGGCAATATTATTTACAGATGAAAATTGAAAAATATATAACTACTGTATGCACATATATGTAAAAATCTATCCACAACTAGATACAAACAGGCATCATACTTCAGCAAAAATTTATTAAACAATTTGTTTAACTCAAAACATGTACATAATTATGTATCACAGTGACACAGTACATAGACACACACAATAGGGTCAAACTATAGGCAATAAACACAAATATTACGCTATAATTTTGTACAGTGTATTTATGAAATTACAGTACAGTACAGTACAGACAGTGCAAGAATAAAAACAACAAAGCTGAAATTTGACTAAATAACAAGATAACTGTAATGCATTGTAGTATACCAACCTTATTAAATACTGCGCTTGTTTTTACGTTGATGATACACGGAGATTTAATAACGCCATCCAACTTTAATTAGAAAGAAGAGCCTTGCTATTGGGAATATTTATATAAACAAAATTCCTTCGCTCAGACGGATTATTTATAAATTAAACTAAAATAACAACACGTCCCATGCAATTTAAAAAAAAGGTAAACCTGCTATAGTAAAACACAAGTCATAATGAGGATCGCAACAATACAGCAATATGCTGTTTTCACAGAGTATCTGACACTCTTGTCGTTCGAAAGCTTCCATATTTGTTTAGTCAGAGAGATGTTCTCTCCTCGATAGGGATGGGCGATACCAGCTTTTTCATTCGATACGATATTTCCTCGATATTTGCCGATTTTTTTCGATATCGATACCGATATCGATATTTTCCCAACTCGAACAACCATCACAACAAAAAGACTATTTTCAATCATTAACAACGGCAACAACACTAACAATATAAACATTGAATAATATATGTCAGTGATTGCAACCAGCATGACCAGAAACTCCGATCCTGCCCGTGGACCATTATAGCGCCATAGAAAATGAACTACTTTTATAGTATTTACGCCTACTAGTATTTAGGCTTGGTGATCGCTAGATAGTATACTTCAAAATAAGGTTTCCATTTTTATAACGTAGAAAAAACTATCCTAACGCAAAACTAAACCCTAACCCTAATACTAACCCTAACCCTAACCTAACCCTAACCTAAACCCTAACCTAACCCTAACTTATTTTAATTATTTTAAAAATTGATATAAAAACGGAAACCTTATTTTGAAGTATACTATCTAGCAATTGCCCCTTGGGTGGCTACGAGTGAGGCGGCATGTAATGGATATGTAACGGTATGTAAGGGTATCTGAGGGTATGTAAGGGTATGTAATGTACAAGCATATAATTTTGCCTATATATACTACTGTAATAAAACAAGACGCAAACGAAACGGCTCAAAAAACGTTTACTTCGTAAGATAGTCTTACATGTATGAACAATGCCGAATTTAAGCTACATATCAGTATTTCTCAGAAAAATTCCCTCTGAAAAATATTATCGGTTCCAAGTTCCGGACTCGGTTCCTGTATTGTTATATCCCTGTATAATTTGAGACACAGGTCACAGGTCATATTTATAAACTCGTCGATTTCAAGGTTTTTTCCGCTACGAAATCATGTGAAATGCCTTTCCTCTGACAGACATTGAAATGCGTCAAGTTGCAAGGAACTTTTTCGCCTTCCATGTACGCACTAACTACAAAATATGGTTTTAATGACAAACCACTCTGACACATAGGTAACAGAACACCACATCTGTGTCTGTGAAATGTCAACAGCATCAAAAAATAATACATATTGACGCATGCTCCAGGTATTTAGAGTTTAGAGAAATTGGTGACTACAAATTTTTTTTGCCACTATTAAATTTGATACAAATTGTCACAAATTTCATTTTGGTATTGCAATTTGGTGTATGCCGTATATATCACTTCCATGGACACACGAGTGAATATGAGAAATAGCCAGGATCTTGTTGAGTCATGTTTTAAACTATTATTTATCAGGTTGCTTAGTCACAGACAATGTTGACATTTATTTAGAGATCAAGTTTCTTATATTACAGCAACGTCGCAAACTATGATAGAACTAAACGCCTTATAGCTTCCCTAAACAGGCTTTGATATGAATTTAAAAGATGATAGACGCAGTTAAGGATTATTTAGCCCCGAAAAGATTTGGTACTATCGCCTATATATGTGTAATTGTTCATTTCCTTTGTGGATTGGTATTTGCTGGTGTTACCGCAGCTTTGAGGGCAAGCGAGAACGGGAAATTTTCTTGCTCTGTTGATGGTAAAAGTACGGCCACGTACAAGCAACAGGCATGTTTTGCAAGATATGATCAAGCTTATAATTCCCCTCTGCCTTTGTACGGCTTTGTTTTACTGAGTATTGGATTGTCAGTTCTTGTCAGTGTTATTTATTCACTGTTAGTATGGAAGCGTGTCGACGAAATAGAGTCAAGCTATGAACGACAAACTGATGGCAAAGCCGAGCATCGTAGACAAAACGTGAAAATTTTTTATGTTTTTTATCGGTATTTCATCCACCTCATTGTGCGTTCGTTAATTGGGATTATTTTTACTGTTGTACAACATACATATTTCTATCCCAATGGTTTCGATTTGAAATTCAGCTGCAATTTACTACCAGCGGAAGTAACATCCAACATCAATACACCAAAGAATGCGAGTCGTAATTTGAACAGTACATCGGTAAATTGTGAGAATGCGACAGCGTCAGAGAAATGGTTATGGGGCATAATTGTATCTGTAATAAACATTATTGTTGCCTTAATTATATCTGTGGAAGTGATTTATCTTTTGCCACGTTTACCTGTGTTCAACAGTTGTTCTTGGGTTGGCTGGAGCGGTGATTTTGAATTTGTTATTGAATATCTTCTTGACAAATCATACAACGTACCTGGTGAGAGTGCACCTTTAACAAGCGTCAAGAACAACCGTCTACGCTGTCGCACTCAAACTTATCGCATTCCGGACTCTGTCGCTCAAGCGTGTGGCGCTGTGAACGATACCATTCCGGACTTTAGGAATCAGGACACTCTCGACTCCATCGCTCAAGAATGTACCACTATCGACCATGACATCCAGGACTCTGGGACTGAGGATTGTATCGACGTTTACAGGGAACAAGTTTTGAATCGTTCTCGTGATCCTGGCATAATTTATGGACCTAACGCTAATATAGATGATTTGTATATTGACGTTGTTATCCATACTGAACGAGCTCAGCATAAATTTTCTAAACAAATGAAAAGACACGAGATCTACGATGTTTACATGGAAGTTCCTTACACCTCAATATGTTTAGAAAGGATTGATGAATTATTTTATCCAAACAGAGATACAAAGGGAGAATTTCCTCGTAGCATTCTAGCGATTGGAAGACCTGGGATTGGTAAATCTGTCTTGACCGAAAAAATTCTCCATGATTGGGCTAATGGAGTTGATAAATATTATTCCGACAAGATTGTCTTCTCTTTTAAATTCAGATGGTTCAACGAGAATATTAACCACTTAACAAATATATCCCTAAAGACATTTCTTCGGTTTGGCACGAGACTGAGTGAAGAAAAGTTCGAAAGTATTTACAAAGAAATTGCAAAAGAGCCACAAAAAGCCATTTTCATTTTTGATGGTTTAGATGAATATCACAGCGACCCCATAAGTTGCTTAGACCAATCTCGCATCATTCCAAACGATCGTAATACTGGCACGTCAGCAATAAATTTATTCATTAAACTAGTTTTGGGCGATTTGTTGAAAGGAGCAACGGTTGTAGTAACGAGCAGACCGACTGCAGGTGATTTTTACTCGAGACTTCATTTTGATCGAAATGTGGAGATTATTGGTTTCACTTGCGATAAAATTGAAGAATATGTCAGCCGATTTTGTGATAATAATAACACGAGCGACCATATCAAAACGAAGATATGGAAGCACATAAAATCCTCGTCAGAACTGTTAAACTTATGTTACATTCCAGTCAACTGCTTTATAGTGTGTGTTACCCTCTCTGGATGTCTTAATGACCCAAGAAATGAAACTGGTGTTCTTCCAACAACATTGACAGAACTTTACCAGACAGCCATTGATCATTTGGAGAAACATCATCACAGAAATGCAGGCAGAAACTCTACGGCACATGAAGCGTTAAAGCAACTTCAACGATTAGCATTCCTTGGTATGGAAAGCGGGCAACTGGTTTTTAATCAAACATTATTTGATGAAGAAATGAGAAAATCAGGTTTATTGAACAGTTTATCCAACCCTATTTTCCCACTACAAACACAATTTTGTTTTATCCACTTAACCATACAAGAATTTCTTGCTGCAAAACACGTGACTGAAACACTCGCTCCAGCCGAAATAAAGAAGTTTATTTCCGACCATGTTGGAAGTGGTCAATGGCATTTAGTTCTTCAGTTCATTGCAGGACTTTTGGGCAAGAAAATCAAGAATTTTGATAGGGAATACAAGGATTGTGTATTCGCGTTTGCAGAACGCTTTGGAGTAAAAAATGGTCAAATTACAGTTAAATACCATGAAGTGTTTATAATGAAGTGTTTAAGGGAAGTGGACGATGAAGAAATTACTAAAGAAGTTTGCGAAGCAACTGCTATAAACGATTTGGTAGAACTACACACTCATCAAACAATTTATAATCTTTCTCCAAGTGATTGGGCGGCAGTGACTTTCGTTTGCAAACACATGAAAAAATTGGCAAATTTGACATTGTTGGAAATTGCGGCAGGTTGTCTTCTGGGATTGTTACGAAAAAGATGCCTAAATAAACTAGATATGCGTGCGCAAGCACGTGGCACTGTTGCAGACGAAGTAGACCAAGTATTTAGCGCATTAATGGAATCAAACTGCACATTGGACCACAAACACACTAAGCTGACTTCGTTATCACTTGCTGGTTTTCGCATTACCGAAGCAGGTTTACCAATCATTTGCAATTTTTTTGAAAATGGGCATGCGAGCCAACTTGAGCAGTTAACTTTAAGTTCAAATCATAATAGAATTTATTCACATGATATTTCGAAACTTTGTGAAGTCCTGAACAATGGACATTGTCCAAATCTTACACATTTGAATTTTCGAAATAATTCAATACGTGATGAGGGTGCAATGGTGTTGTGTGATTCTCTGACGAAAGGGCTTCGTAAACTTAATAAATTGGATGTAAGTGTATGCGAGTTAACAGATCAATGTATTCCCACGCTAGTGGAGGCACTGCAAGATGAACGTTGTCAACTGACTGATCTATCACTGGGGAACAATACAATAGATGATAAAGGTGCATGTATGTTGTATGAAGATGCCTTGACAAACGAGCATTGTAAGCTTTCGGTGTTGAATCTTGGAAAGTGTTTGTTAACGGATCAGTGCATACCCAGTTTGTGTAAGGCACTGCGAGATGAACATTGTAAGCTAACAGAATTGTGGCTTCCGTCAAATACATTTACTGCAAACGGCAGGAAGTTGCTTAGTGATATAAAAGATGTTGAAAGTTGTAAAGCTAGGGATTTACGAATTGTTGAGTACAATGGAAATTATATCTGTTCTTAACATTTTTGTTAATATACTGTACGGCTTTAAATTTGTAAAATAAACGCTGTTTCATTGATAACTGTAGATTATCTTCGCGTTTCTGGGATGTTGCCAATCTATACTGGTGTGATTAAAGTCCCTGATCTAACGAGGATGTGAGTTGGCAAGCGAGAATTTGCATGCGAGTTTTCTCAACTCTCGCGCCCCGATAGGAACGAGAACAAAAGTTGCATGAGAGTTGATGAGAGTTGAGTGGATATTACCGCTCGCGTAGCAAAAACTCTCCTCAAAATTTGAACGAGCTCAAAGTTGATGAAAGTGCATGAGAGTGGATGAGAGTTGGCGATGAAACACGAGCGAGAATTGCAACTCTCATCAACTCTCATTCTTGTTTGACTGAGGCTTATTGTAATAGTACCAAGTGTCTTGAAAACACCTCCCGTAGGATTTCCTTGTTAAAGTTATTTTTCGTTTTCGAGTTGACGATTAGACTTCAAAACTGTCGAAAAATGATTGGGTTAAAAATCAGGGGATTGAGAGCTCAAAAATTTTGAAGGGTATTTTCAGTGTATTTATCATGGTTATGGAATTAAAAACATACAAATAGTAACTCCAATATGGAAATCTCATGCATGAAACCTGTTTTGATGACATTTTCTACCACACTATTTAAGCTAGCCATATGGTTATTGAAGTTCGAGTCATTCCTATACCCTTCCTATCTGCATCTAGGCTCGTCAATCTCGCTGTATATCAAAATGTCAAACTGAATTTGACTTCCATCATTTTTTGATAGTTTGACATTTAGTAAACGCAAGAATTATAAAAAATAGCACGCGTATCGTATTAGGAATCCAGGATTACGCCAACCTCGTTACCAAACTCTTCTAGGGAAGTGGTATACATGGTATACATAATAATGTTTGAATAATAATTGAAATAAATATAACTGGAACGATACCTCCAAGCGGAAGTTTGAAGCCGAACTTGAAAGCCAGTCCCAGTCTTTTCACGCATGGGAAGAGCGCGGTGAATCCGTCTACAATGATATGTATTTTTGAAAACCGCGGCTTAAAATTTACAAACAAGCTTTTTAACAGCATTCAAAGCTTTCTATTAATGCATTTATGGAGGTAAAACGTTCTATTAGACTTTACTTTTAGTTTTGGGGGTCAGATTTGGCTTCAATACAGTGAAAGATCGATAGGCAGTTTTATCTGAAGGTAGCGTTCCAGTTAATATATGCTATATATTCAATGCTATAAAGCGATACAACTGAAGTATATATCAGCTTAGCGCAATTTTTTATTAGCGTTTGTGTCAAATTTGTGTCTTGTGCGAATTAGCCATTCCGAAGTTGATGAGAGAACTGGAGACGAGTGTTAAAAAGTGCCCAAATTAAGAAATGAACCAAATCACTAAAAAGGCCACCTCAAAATTAGTAAGTATACAAAGTTTGAAGACGTTTACATGAATACCCTTCGAATAATAAGCTTTCGAAAATTGTGGTGTTTACTATGAAATGTATTGTAATTTTGTAATTCTTGTTTTTGGGACGCGCGTCCCAAAAACAAGCTTTTAATCAGTAATTTCACAATTTTCGAAAGCTTATTATTCGAAGGGTATTCATGTAAACGTCTTCAAACTTTGTATACTTACTAATTTTGAGGTGGTCTTTTTAGTGATTTGGTTCAGAACCTTTCTTAATTTGGGCACTTTTTAACACTCGTCGCCAGTTCACTCATCAACTTCGGAATGGCTAATACGTATACGGTCCCTAATCTACTGCCTCTTTCATATCCTTTCATTTTCGTTCATATTTCTCAGTTTCTCTCTTTTTTGAAAATCCTTGGCACTTTGCTCAGGAGACAAGAAAATACGCTACGTTTAGGTACGAAACGGTTGAAATGGAAAACAACCCATGTAAACAAGCTTCATTACGTCTGTCTATAAATTCCATAATTCTTCTGAAAGTATTTTGAAGATATCTAACGCTGATATAATATCCATGAAATACAACTATATTTCACAAAGTGTGAGACGTTCATGTAAGGACCTTTACCTCAACTTTGTACAAAATAATAAAATATAATAAAATCTTCGGTATTTGCTAGTCCTTTCTAATAGATATAGCAAATTATTTTTGCACCATTTTCAACAATATCAAAGACACAAAAGCTCCCTACGCAATGTTGCTATTTTTGAATTGATCTAACCATGTTTTACCCCATGCCTGTAGGGAGTCCAGCTCATCACGTCATATTGACAGACTTTTAACTGGCTGCTTGCATGTACCTGAAGTTTATCTTGCGGAGAGCCAACGCTTATAATTGTGAAATACAACTATTTCAGGAAGTCCAACACCGGGAAATCTGCCCAGCAAAGAAAAGCGGAATCTCCGGGTATTTTCTAGCCATTTAATCTATATATTCAGCAACTTAATTTTAGATCATTTTCAATTAACTTTAAACAATATCAAAGACACAAAAGCTCCCCATGCAATTTTGCCATGTTTTGTTCAGCTTTAGCCATGCATTCAAAGAACTTAATTGTTGTCTCTTTTCTGTTGCATATCAACAAAAACTCACTGAGTTGCAAGTTCATGTTACCCAAATTGCTGTGTCACAAACCCGAAAGTGCACAGACCAAAGTTTCAAAGATGTACTTTGTTAAATATCAAGATGATAGATGTCGTTAAGGATTATTTAGCTCCGAAAAGATTTGGTACTGTCGCCTACCTATGTGTGATTGTTCATTTTCTTTGTGGTTTGGCATTAAGTGCTTTTACCACATTTTTGAGGATGACCGAGAACGCGGGCAAATTTTTTTGTTCAGCTGATGCTAAGAGTACGACCACGTACAAGAAACAGGTCGACCAGGTATGTTTTGCAAGATATGATCACGCATATAATTCCCCTTTGCCTTTTTGTGCGGCTTTGTTCCACTGAGTATTGGAGTCACAGTTCTTGTCAGTGTTATTTATTTCACTGATAGTGAGCACCCGCGTCGACGAAATAAAGTCAATGCACAAACGACAAACTGATGGCGAAGCCGAGAATCGTGGACAGAACAGGAAAACGGTATATGTTTTTTATTCATATTTTGTCCACCTTGTTCTTCGTGGGTTATTTGTGATCACTTTAACTGTTTTGCAACACACATATTTCTATCCAAATGGGTTTTACTTCAAATTCAGCTGTAATTTACCCCCAACGGATCAAGTATCATCCAACATAAATACACCAAAGAATGCGAGTCGTAATTTGAATGGTACATTAGTAACATGTGAGAATGCGACAGCGTCAGAAAAATGGGTATCAGGCATATTTGTGTCTGTAATAAACAGCATTGTTGCCGCAGTTATACTTGGCGAAGTGATTTATCTTTTGCCACGTTTACCAATCCTCAACCGTCATTCCGGAGTTGGCTGAAACGGTGATTCTAAATTTGTTATTGAATATCTTCTTGGCAAGCAATATAATGTTCCTGATGAAAGTGAACCTTTAACGGGTATCGAAAGCAATCCTACGTACTGTAGCACTCAGGATTATATCGACTTTTACAAGGAACAAGTTTTAAATCGTTCTCGTGCACCTGACATAATTTATGGCCGAAATGCCAATATAAACGATTTGTATATTGACGTTGTTATCCATACTGAACGAGCTCAGCATAATTTTCCTGAAGAAATGAGAAGACACGAAATCTACGACGTTTATATGGAAGTTTCTCCAACCTCAATATGTTTAGAAAGGATTGAGGAATTATTTTATCCAAACAGAGATACAATGGGAGAATTTCCTCGTAGCATTTTGGCGATTGGAAGACCTGGGATTGGTAAAACTGTCTTGACCGAAAAAATTTTGCGTGATTGGGCTAATGGAATTGATGAATATTACTGTTGCAAGATTGTCTTCTTTTTCAAATTCAGATGGTTCAACGAGAATATTAGAAAATTAATAAATATATCCCTTAAGACATTTCTTCGGTTTGGGACGGGACTGAATGTACAAATTTTTGAAAGTATTTACGAAGAAATTGCAAAAGAGCCACAAAAAGCCATTCTTATTTTTGATGGTTTAGATGAATATCACGGTAACCCCATAAGTTGCTTAGACCAACCTCGCATCATTCCAAACGATCCTAATACTGGCACGTCAGCAATGAATTTATTCATTAAACTAGCTTTGGGCGACTTGTTGAAAGAAGCAACGGTTGTAGTAACGAGCAGACCGACTGCAGATGATTTTTACTCTAGACTTGATTTTGATCGAAATCTGGAGATTATTGGTTTCACTTCTGATAAGATTGAAGAATACGTCAGCCGATTTTGTGACAATAATAACACGAGTGACCTGAAAATGAAGATATGGAACCACATAAAATCCTCATCAGAACTTTTAAACTTATGTTACATTCCAGTCAACTGCTTTATAGTGTGTGTTACTCTCTCTGGATGTCTTAATGACCCAAGAAATGAAACCGGTGCTCTTCCAACAACACTGACAAAACTTTACCAGACATCCATTGATTATTTTGAGAAACATCATCACAGAAATGCAGACAGAAACTCTACGGCACATGAAGCGTTAAAGCAACTTCAACGATTAGCATTCCTTGGTATGGAAAGCGGGCAACTGGTTTTTAATGAAACATTATTTGATGAAGAAATGAAAAAATCAGGTTTATTAAACAGTTTATCCAATCCTATTTTCCCACTACGAACACAATTTTGTTTTATCCATTTAACCATACAAGAATTTCTTGCTGCAAAACACGTGACTGAAACACTCGCTCCAGCCGAAATAAAGAAGTTTATTTCCGACCATGTTGAAAGTGGTCAATGGCATGTAGTTCTTCAGTTCATTGCAGGACTTTTGGGCAAGAAAATCAAGAATTTTGATGAGGAATACAAGGATTGTGTTTTCACGTTTGCAGAAAGCTTGGAAGTTACTAATGGTAAAATGCAAGTTAAATACCATCAGGTGTTTATAATGAAGTGTTTAAGGGAAGCGGACAATGAAGAGATTACTAGAGAAGTTTGCGAAACAACCGCTATAAACGATTCGGTAGAACTATACACTCATTTTTACGCTGATAATATTTCTCCAAGTGACTGGGCAGCAGTGACTTTCGTTTGCAAACATATGAAAAACTTGGCAAATTTGACATTGTTTCCAATTGCCGCAGGTTATTGTCTTCAGGAGGTTCTGGGATTGCTACGAAAAAGATGCCTAAATAAACTAGAAATGCGTACGGTAACATTTCTTTCTGTTGCAGACGATATAGACCAAGTATTTAGCGCATTAATGGAATTAAATTGCACATTGGACCACGAACACACTAAGCTAAATTCATTAACACTTGATAATTTTCGCATGACAAAAACAGGTTTACCAATCGTGTGCAAATTTTTTGAAAACGGGCATGGTAGCCAACTTGAGCAGTTAACTCTAAATCTTAATAGAATTGATTCACATAAAATTTCGAAACTTTGTGAAGTCCTTAACAATGGACATTGTCCAAACCTTACACATTTGGATCATGGAAGTAATACAATACGTGATGAGGATGCAATGGTGTTGTGCGATTCTCTGACGAAAGGGCTTCGTAAACTTAATAAATTGGATGTCAGTTCGTGTGGGTTAACAGATCGATGTATTCCTACGTTAGTTAAGGCAGTGCAAGATGAACATTGTCAACTGACTAAACAATCATTGGAGTTCAATGACATAGGTGATAAAGGTGCATGTATGTTGTTTGAAGATGCCCAAACAAACGAGCATTGTAAGCTTACTTTGTTGAATCTTGAAAGGTGTTTGTTAACGGGTCAATGTATACCCAGTTTGTGTAAGGCACTGCAAGATGAACGTTGTCAACTAACTGATCTATCACTGGAGTCTAATGCCATAGATAACAATGGTGCATGTTTGTTGTTTGAAGATGCCCTGAGAAAAGAGCATTGTAAGCTTACTGTGTTGAATCTTGAAAGGTGTTCGTTAACGGGTCAATGCGTACCCAGTTTGTGTAAGGCGCTGCAAGATGAACGTTGTCAACTGACTGTTTTATTACTGGGGGAAAATGCCATAGGTGACAAATGTGTAGGTATGTTGTTTGAAGATGCCTTAGCAAACGGGCATTGTAAACTTACTGTGTTGAATCTTGAAAGGTGTTTGTTAACGGGTCAATGCATGCCCAGTTTGTGTAAAGCGCTGCAAAATGAACGTTGTCAACTGACTGAACTATCATTGGAGGACAATGACATAGGTGATAAAGGTGTATGTATGCTGTTTGAAGATGCCCTGACAAAAGAGCATTGTAAGCTTACTGCGTTGAATCTTCACGAGTGTTCGTTAACGGATGAATGCATACCCAGTTTGTGTAAGGCACTGCAAGATGAACATTGTAAGCTAACAGAATTGAGCCTTATAACGAATAAATCGGTTACTGAAAACGGCAAGAAGTTGCTTCGTGACACAATGGATTATGAAAGTTGTAAAGTCAACGATTTACAAATTGACTGATGAGTGCATTGAAAATTATATCTGATCTTAACATTTTTGTATACATACACCATATAAAGCTTTAAATTTGTAAAAAATAAACGCTGTTTCATTAATAATTGTAGATTATCTTCGCGTTTCTGGGATTTTGCCAATCTTTACTAGTGTGATTAAAGTCTTAAAATCCCGGATGAAACGACGATGAGAGTTGGCAAACGAGAGTTTGCATGCGAGTTTTCTCAACTCATGCTCCGATCCGAACGAGAACAGAAGTTGCATGAAAGTTGATGAGAGTTGAGTGGATATTACCGCGCGCGTGGCAAAACGAGTTCAAAGTTGATGAAAGTGCATGAGAGTGGATGAGAGTTGGCGATGAAACGCGAGCGAGAGTTACAACTCTCATCAACATGGGCGTACGGGAAGGAAAAATTAGGGGGGGGGCGGAAAGAAATTTGCCCGACTTTTTCGGATTGTGCCAGAGTTGTCAAAAAAAATTTTCCGGACAAACTTTCCAAAATTGTTGTCGACGGATTGATTACGAAAAATTCCTATTAGATAGCATATTTCCCACAAACTTGACAGAATTTCCCACAAAGCTGACAGAATTTGTCCCATCTATTCTTATAATAAGCCAATATTGCCCGACTGTGAAGCGAATATTGCCCGACTGGCTTTGTTTGCCTAACAAACTGGAAGTGTATTTATGGTTAGTCAACTTAAGTAAATGGAATTAAAAACATACAAATAGTAACTCTAATATGGAAATCCCATGAAAGCTGTTTTGATGACATTTTATATCACACTATATTTAAGCTAGCCATATGTCTATTGAAGTTCGAGTCAGTCCTATACCTTCCTATCTGCATCTAGGCTCGTCAATCTCGCTGTATGTCAAAATGTCAAACTGAATTTGACTTTCCATATATTTTGTGTTCAATATATAGACCACAGTAAGACTTTTTTAAATGTTTATTTCATTAACAAACGACGTTTCGGAGATTTACTCCATCTTCAGGTAGGATTACAATTTGAATTTAAACTAACATGCGCATGCATAAACGTTAAAATTGCGACCGTTATTCGCGCGTGCGAAATTGCGTAAGCATATAAATTACGTGCACGTGTCCGATTAATTCTAATAAAAATTAGAAATTGTTAATTCTGTCTTTAATGTTTAAACTACGAAATCTAAGACATTTAACTGTTCGTATTTTCCATTCAAGTCTGGATTAAGCTTTTGGATGAATAATGCTTCGGTAATTTTCCGTTCTACAGATCCTTTTGTTCTTTTTAAAATCTTAACAGACAGTTTAGGTTTTTGTCCGTAATGTTGGTCGAGGTAGTGTTTCGAGAAAGCCATGTTTTTATAGGACTTTGCTTTCGGGTTTGCTGCGGAACGAAAATGTTCTTGGTATCGAACCACCAATGGTCTGCCTGTCTCGCCTACGTACGTTGCTCCACAAAGGTCACAGTTGATTTGATACACGACATCTTTCTGTGTACACTGAATGGGAGCATTTGAGTTGCTGCAGATTGGGCATTTAGAGGTGTCTCTGCATACTTTATCGTAAGGTCGCGATTCTACGAGGAGTTGTTTAAGCGAGCTTTGTGGTCTTTCAACTATTCTGACATTGAGGTTTGAACTAATAGTTGAAAGTTCAAACCAGAATAGTTGAAAGACCACAAAGCTCGCTTAAACAACTCCTCGTAGAATCGCGACCTTACGATAAAGTATGCAGAGACACCTCTAAATGCCCAATCTGCAGCAACTCAAATGCTCCCATTCAGTGTACACAGAAAGATGTCGTGTATCAAATCAACTGTGACCTTTGTGGAGCAACGTACGTAGGCGAGACAGGCAGACCATTGGTGGTTTCGATACCAAGAACATTTTCGTTCCGCAGCAAACCCGAAAGCAAAGTCCTATAAAAACATGGCTTTCTCGAAACACTACCTCGACCAACATTACGGACAAAAACCTAAACTGTCTGTTAAGATTTTAAAAAGAACAAAAGGATCTGTAGAACGGAAAATTACCGAAGCATTATTCATCCAAAAGCTTAATCCAGACTTGAATGGAAAATACGAACAGTTAAATATCTTAGATTTCGTAGTTTAAACATTAAAGACAGAATTAACAATTTCTAATTTTTATTAGAATTAATCGGACACGTGCACGTAATTTATATGCTTACGCAATTTCGCACGCGCGAATAACGGTCGCAATTTTAACGTTTATGCATGCGCATGTTAGTTTAAATTCAAATTGTAATCCTACCTGAAGATGGAGTAAATCTCCGAAACGTCGTTTGTTAATGAAATAAACATTTAAAAAAGTCTTACTGTGGTCTATATATTGAACACAAAATATACTAATAACATGAGACTTAGGGAAAGTTCGTTCCTAAACACTTTCCATATAGTTTGACATTTAGTAAACGCAAGAATAAAAAAATAACACGCTTTTCGACCAGGAATCTAGGATTACGCCTCGTACCACACTATGCAAAAGTTCATTTAATTATTGATGCATATATAATCTTATAAAAACAAAATGAATGCTAATCTGGAAATTGAGTGTTTTAAAATGATGACATTTAAAATAGTGATTTTTCGATCTAAATCATCCTCAGACTACAATATTATATACAAATTACGCGTGTACAAACTGCAGTGATTTGAATGACGAAGACAATAATGAAGCGTTTTATGAGGACTGCGATAATCATTTTGCCATTCCTGAAAAACTCAGTTGGGAAAGGTTTCTGAAAAATTAATATAAAGACCTTATCGAAATTCATTTGTTAGAAAAGATATATATCTATTCTAGTTTTATCCTGCTCGAAATGCTTTTCAGGCTCTTTACTCCAGCGAGGCGCGTAGTGGAAAGAGCCTGGGTACGAGGTTGAATGCTTTTTGTGTTTAGGGCGCTTAATTTCCTAAAGACCCGTTGCAATTTTTGCTACGATTTTCTTCTTCTGATGGATGTGAACGAGTAGATGAGTTATGAATGTTCTGAGTATGTGTCGCACCGATGTACCTTCATCTCAACATTCATAACTCATCCACTCGTTCACATCCATCAGAGGAAGAAAATTGCACCTAAAATCTCAGCAAAATTGCATATGTAAATTTCCGCGTTATCAAAGCTGCGGTCGCTGCAACAGTAAATGCCAATCTACAAAGGAAATGAACAATTACACATGCCTACGTAGGTGATAATACCAAATCTTCTTGGAGCTAAACAACCCTGGCCTTGGCGTCTATCATCTTGATATTGAATAACAAAGTATGCTTCTTATAAAAGTATACATGTAAAGACTGGTTTTACTATCAAAGCTAGTTTCTGTGATCACAGTAGAAATTTTCGACACAGTCACAGGTAAATTCTACGTTTTGAAGGATTCATATTTCAGTGTAAGAAATGTTTGAGGGAACTGACTCACTGACATTTCTTACAATCTTACAAAATTCTTCAAAACTTAGAATTTACCTTGCAATACTGTGATCACCGAAACTTTGATGGTGGATTTAGTTCGAGTTAGCGAGGTTTTACTGTGGCGAATCAGGTTTAACGTCTTAGTATTCAAAATTTTCATCCAAAGTCGTCGTGACGTCATCATACATCGCATGTATATATGCAAACAGTGCTGGGGTGAGTTGCGTCGTCCCCAAGCACCCCCGCGCGCTTGCCTAGCTTAGCCCCGTCTGTACAGGGTGTCCCAAAAAAACCTAAAACTATTGAAATAACATATTCTTAGAATTTGAATGTCTCAACACTCTGCTGAACTTACAAGTGCGTAAAAGCTTGACATAAGTAAATTTTATGCTCAAAGAAACTGTTTAAGAAGCTGCTTTAAATTCCCAAGAGCAGAAAATCGTGCGCTTGAACAAATTATTCTTATTAAGTCAATATTTATAATATATGCAGCCTGTCAATATTTTACGATCTTTGCGTTCAGCTTAATTTAATGCTAGGGCATTCAAATTCTAACAATACTTTATTTCAATAGTTTTGGGGTTTTTTTTGGGACACCCTGTATACAGCATTGAACTGAATATAACTGGAATGCTACCTCCAAGCGGAAATTTGAAGCCGAACTTGGAGGCCAGTCCCAGTCTTTTCACGCATGGGAAGAGCGCGCGATCAATCCTTCATCATAAATATGTACGGCCTTTGAAAACCACGGCTTAAAATTTACAAACAAGCTTTTTAACAGCATTCAAAGCTTTCTATTAATGCATTTATGCAGATAAAACGTTCTATTAGACTTTACTTTTAGTTTGGGGGGTCAGACTTGGCTTCAATATTGAAAGATGGGCAGTTTTATCTGAAGGTAGCGTTCCTGTTAATATATTAATTTCAATGCTATACAGTGATAACACTGAAGTATACAGCTATTTCAATTAAGATTGCCCACGAGCAAAACGGAAAAGTCGAATATGAGCGCGAAAGGCTGCTGGGAATCGCTAACAAATTAATGAATTTTCAAAGCGGTTCCCAGCAGCCTTTCGCGCTCGTACTCGACTTTTCCGCTTTGCTCGTGGACAACCTTAATTGAAATAGCTGTATATTAGCTTAGAGCGATAACTATATAGTACAGTCCCTAATCTACTGCCTCTTTCATATCCTTTCATTTTCGTTCATATTTCTCAGTTTCTCTCTTTTTTGAAAATCCTTGGCACCTTGCTCAGGAGACAAGCAATTACGCTACGTTTAGGTACGAAACGGTTGAAATGGAAAACAATTACCCATGTGAACAAGCTTCATCACGTCTGTCTGTCTATAATTCCATAATTCTTCTGAAAGTATTTTGAAGATACCTAACGCTGATATAATATTTATGAAATACAACCATATTTCATAAAGTGTGAGACATTTATGTAAGGACCTTTACCTCAACTCTGTACGAAATAATAAAATATAATAAAATCTTCGGTATTTTCTAGTCCTTTCTAATAAATATAGCAAATTATTTTTGCACCATTTTCAACAATATCAAAGACACAAAAGCTCCCTACGCAATGTTGCTATCTTTTGAATTGATCTAACCATGTTTTGCCCCATGCCTGTGGGGAGTCCAGCTCATCACGTCATATTGACAGACTTTTAACTGGCTGCTTGTACCTGAAAGTTTATCTTGCAGATAGCTAACGCTTATAATTGTGAAATACAACTATTTTAGGAAGTCCAACACCGGAAAATCTGTCCAGCAAAGAAAAACGGAATCTCCGGGTATTTTCTAGCCATTTTATCTATCAGTATATTCAGCAACTTAATTTTAGATCATTTTCAATTAACTTTAAACAATATCAAAGACACAAAAGCTCCCCATGCAATTTTGCCATCTTTTGTACAGCTTTAGCCATGCATTCAAAGAACTTAATTGTTGTCTCTTGTTTGTTGAATATCAACAAAAACACACTGAGTTGCCGCTTCATTTTACCCAAATTGCTGTGCACAAACATTAAAGTGCACAGACCAAAGTTTCAGAGATGTACTTTATTAAATATCAAGATGATAGATGCCGTTAAAGATTATTTAGCAGCGAAAAGATTTGGTAATGTCGCCTACCTATGTGTGATTGTTCATTTTCTTTGTGGTTTGGCATTAAGTGCTTTTACCACATTTTTGAGGATAACCGAGAACGCGGGCAAATTTTTTTGTTCAGTTGATGCTAAGAGTACGGCCACGTACAAGAAACAGGTCGATCAGGTATGTTTTGCAAGATATGATCAGGCGTATAATTCCCCTCTGCCCTTGTGCGGATTTGTTCCACTGAGTATTGGAGTCACAGTTCTTGTCAGTGTTATTTACTCACTGATAGTGAGCACCCGCGTCGACGAAATAGAGTCAATACACAAACGACAAACTGATGGCGAAACCGAGAATCGTGGACAGAACAGGAAAACGGTATATGTTTTTTATTCATATTTTGTCCACCTTGTTCTTCGTGGGTTATTTGTGATCGCTTTAACTGTTTTGCAACACACATATTTCTATCCAGATGGGTTCGATTTCAAATTCAACTGTAATTTACCCCCAACGGATCAAGTATCATCCAATATAAATACACCAAAGAA